TTAAGCGAAAGGTTGCTAAATCCATCATGAAAGGACGAGATCATTAATAGCATCCACTGTTTTCACTGCTGTCTTGCACACCATACATATAGGAGAATTTCAGCAAAAAAAATCACCCCTAAATGACAGAGTGCTGGGCTGATTCCATTTTCCATGTGAAGCCCGATAAACTCTTCACCTGTTCTGTGCATTTTAATGTCTCGTAATTCAAGTCTGTAACATTTTGCTTTGCTGAGATGAGCCACGCTTTAAAAACATAGGAAATCGACTTGTCCTGTGACCATGGATAAAATGCACTACAGCACTAACTCCAGTGGGAGCCACTTGTGTACTGAGTCATAGCCTGGCCATGTATTGGGCTTTAATGAATAAGCTGACCTATAAAGTTAAGTTTTAATCTCCCTATGATGTAGCCCACAATATAATTAGCCCGCACAGCCAAAAGTACTGTTCAATCTCTCTGCATTGCGTTGTAACCAGCTCTTTACGATAATATGAGGACCTTGGGAATAGGGCTTGATTTCATCCAGTTTATTTTAATAAAATAATCACAGTACTATTTTACACCTTTCATCCTTAAGGATCCCTGAACCCTGTATAAAACCTATGGGACAAACCCTGAAGCCTTCCCTCATTTTGCCCTTGGGGCCAGATTTTGAAAGGCAGTTGTCTGGAACCTGCTAGAAGCATTGCCTAACTTCCATTCAAAGCCTTGGAAGCTAGGCACTTGAATATCTTAAATCTGGCAGTTGGTCCTTATTGAAGCAAATTCCTATGGAGTCAAAAGGAATTTGGCCTGAGGTAAGGATATAAATTGAGTAAACTTATGAATTTGACTCCTTATAGGGCAGGACCCTAAGGTCACTACCCAGAATGGGAGTCTTGCCTCTGACTAGTAGCAATTCAGAACTGTTCACTCACACTGGAGGGAATGACCATGTGAGAACAGTTAATATTCATGCCAGGCAGTGACTGCTGGGAAAGCTACCCAGGTCTGTTGCAGCTGCAGCCCTGGAAGCGTTTGTGCACTGTGGCAGCTAGCCCTATGTGGGGGCAACACTGGAAATATTTGCTGATAGTTTACTTGTGCATTTTAGAAACCAGCAAAGCAAAAGCAGTTACATTTTTTTTCCCGATGCCGAAATATGTTCTCTCAGAGCACTATCCGGCCATGGAATAAGACAATTCGATGTCACCAGCTCCTGGATGTCTACCACATCATGAGGTGGAAGTCCTCTTGTGCACCTTCCACATCCATGTGGCAGTGGAGCACAAACTGGCCCTAACTGAGTAGCTTAATAGACATGGGCCTGCTCTTGCAAAAACTCATGCATGTGTTTAACTTTAAGCCCGTGTGTAGCAGTGCAGCACATATATGAGGATATGTCTTCTCTGTAACTGGAAGGTGTAATTCCTAGCTCGGGTAGCCATACATGCACAAGCCACGCTTGAGCTAGAGCACTGAAATAGCAGCGGCCCTGGGTGGTGGCTCAGGCTAGCTGCCTGAGTACGTGCCCAGCGGTCAGGTGGCTAGTCTGAGTCTCTGTCTCTGGTGCCGTGGCCACGCTGTGACTTTTTTCGTGTGCTAGCTCCAGCAGAGCAACACCTCCTGGTGGTTGTGTGCACATGTCATGGTTTTCAGGGATAAGGCTTCAATGAACGGCAGACGGACCAACACGGGAAGGAAAGCAGCAGATTTACAGTGAAGCTTTCCAACTGCAGCAGGCAATGCAATACAACCAAAAAGGAACTACATGAGGCGGGGGGGACCACTGCACAAATTTTGGGATGTTATCAGGGGCCAGTTCTGGGCAAGGCCTCAGGCAGAAGAGGCAGAGCTGGGGCTTAGAGGTACTCTGTGTGTATGTGACACAGAGACTTTGACACATATTGTGTGTGTGTGAGACTCCGTGGTACAGAGACTGGGAGAGTGTGTGTGTGTGTGTCACTATGTGTGTCTGTACAGTGACTGTTTTTTGTGCATGTGAGGGGGAGTGTGTGGCACAGATAGTGGGTGCCTATGTATATGACCCAGAGACTGTGTGTGTGTGTGTGTGTGTGTGTGTGTGTGACCATTCATACCTCAGACTGGAGCAGCTTTCCTGCGTGTTCCTCTCCCCAAACCATGCTCTGCAAAGATGGGGTGCAGGGGCAGGAGGACACCTGACATCAGCACTCCCCTCCCATCCTCCTCCCCATTCTGCACAGCTAGCAGGAGGGTCCTGGGAGAAGCTGGCTGCAGGATGGAGCAAGGTGTGGGGGAGGGGCCACGGAACATACACTGTCAGGTGTATGTAGGCACCCTCTGATAATCAGCTGGGCAGGCCAGATAGAAATGTTGGGCGGGAAGCATCTGGCCCAAAGGCCATATTTTGCCCATCTCTGGTTTGGGGGCATCATGCAGGCACATGTCACTCTGAACTATATGGGAAAACAAGGTATGTTTGGCCAAAGACACAAATATCTTTACTACAGAACAGAACCAACCTCAGGCTGTAATCTACCCTCCAAACACAAGGGGAACTCAATGTACACATTTTAGAAGGTTGATGGGCTGACAGCTCCTCTTGAGATTTGACCTTGTGGTTCCAGGAAGTTTAAAGCATCAATTCTGAAAAACCCAAACAATCTCTCCCTTTTTTTCCCCATATTTTTTTACCTGATTAGGATGGAATCCATCAACAGGTTCTATCAGCTGCCAGCTTTCTCCTCCTAGTTTGTGCCACTCATCAGCAACTGAAAATCACATAATCACAAAGGATTAAACACACACATCACATCCCCTTCATGCCACATCAGAGAGAGTATTTTTAGCAGACAACTGCTGCACATAAAGATTATGCTAATTTGTGAAATGGTGCCAGCACCAATACCACATTCAATTCCCTTTCCTTAAGGTAGTATTTACACCTTTATTTTTTGTATCCAATATATGTATACAAGGAAGTTCTTTGACATAAATGATTGTAAAACTTTGTCTTCCAACTAAGAATTTTGCTGCACTGTGTGAAACTGAAATATTTAACACTGATTTAATACTCCTTCATTTTTCATTTCAGGAACAGCTTCAGCAAAGCCAAAAATTAAAAAAAACAAAACACTTCTGCTTGGAAAAAAGATTGCACCGGTAGACAGTTGGGGTGATGTCTTCAGGAACAGTATGTCATTTTCAGTTACCCCGTATATTCCGGTGTACAAGACGACTTTTGATGTTAAAAAACATCCCCCCAAAATCGGGGGTCGTCTTGTACGCTGGTATACATCCCAGGCGCACCTGGGATGCCCCCCCGCCGGCTTCCCCTGAGGCTTTGCAAAGCTGCTGCGGGCTTTTTCCCCCCGGCCCCGGGTCTGTCTTGATGTTAAAAAACATCCCCCCAAAATCGGGGGTCGTCTTGTACGCTGGTATACATCCCCAGCCCCCCGGGGATCCCCCCCCGCCGGCTTCCCCTGAGGCTTTGCAAAGCTGCTGCGGCTTTGCTCCCGGTGCCTCTGGTCTGCTGGGGACCGTCTCCAGCAGACCAGGGACACCGGGAGCAAAGGAGGCTGGGGTATAAGACGAAACCCTATCTTTTAACTAAAAAATTAGGGGGTCGTCTTAGTCGCCCTATACGCCGGAAAATACGGTACTTTTCTTCTGAGTGGCCCTTTTCAACTCCAGCAAAAGAACCTTTCTGAATTATATAAGCATTGCATCCAAGCCCCACAGCCATGGAAGAAATAAAGAGCTTCTTTTCTTGAAAAGGGTTGAGTGGCAATCAAACATCAGACCAGCAGAAACGGCCTTAGCTGAGTCCTAATTCAATAATTTATTTTATAATGATGGATTAAGAATTTGTAATGGTATCATGCACACAATCCATCATGCAAAGACATGCTCTCTTCCTCCATCTCCATCTCCCTTTGAAAACAGCATTTCTTCTTGGCTGAACAATCTGCTTTAGAATCACTGCTTTTGCAACTAGGGCCTGATTTGGATTTTTCAAACACCGATTTATCTGTAGAATCAAAGACCCACACTATTGACTTAAACAAAGAAAAAGCGATTCAAAACAAATGGTTTAAAAACATATTGCATATTTGTAACTAGACATTCTGGATCTTATACACACACACAAATCATGGCACTCAAAGTCCTTCTTAAATTAGGCAATTATATTATTTTAAAAAATTTGCTCACGGGATACACTTTGCATTTTCATAAGGGACCTGAGATACTGCAGTAATACAATATTACTCAGCCATACCTCAGTATTATGCGCTTTGGACACTTGATCCTAAAGTAAGACAACACTGAGCTGTCACAAGTACAATTATTTTAGGTCCTCACACAGGCAAGAAAGATAAGGAGAGACGTACTGAAGGATGCAAAGGGATGATTGATGCCTTTATTCTGGCTTAGTAACTCTTTTTAAGCATTAAGAATATTTTTAAAGTTGTCTTGGGAAGACATAAGCATGGACTAATCCTAGGAAGTCTGTGAGGATTTTGGATTGATTTGATTTACCATCGCATTTTGGGATTCAAGTTAGTGTTTGAGCAGATAAAGGGAGCAACTGCCCTGGGGCCTGGTGACTTAAAAGGCCCGGGATGCAGCCATCACCTTGGGAGCAGCAGTGTCTAGAGCTCTGGGCCCTTAAAATCATTACCAGAACATCTGAGTGGCGTGCCCCTGCAGCCCCAGTAGCACTGAAAGGCTGGCTGAGGGAGGCTACCTTCCTGTCCCACCTCTTCTGGTAGAGGCCCTGCCCTTTCCAAGGGGTGTATGTGTGGAGCCAGCTCTGCTCAAGGCCTGGCGAGGTCTCTCATCAGCCCTGCACAGGCCGATGCCATTAATGTGTGCCCACACCTGTAGGGCTCCCTCTGTAAACTTCCAGGACCTGTCAAGCTAAGTAGCTCAGTGATTTTCACCACACAAAGTTTTCTGGAAACTCTTTATAACCCCTCTTGGCCTCTCTCCACAGAACAGGATGATCCAGACCTTATTCTTCACTTTTTTCTACTCCTACTTTAAATAAGCCTATGGGCCAGCTTCTGACTGCTGCTTGAGACTGCCAGAAAAGCCACAGTGACAATATGGGTTGGAAGTTTCACTCACTGTCTGTCTGGTTCACAACCAGTGCACGGCCCCTGAGCCACTTACACCCTGGAACCCTGACTCTGTAGTCTCGGGGTAGGGCTCCCAGCGTTTCAACACCTTTTGCTTCTAATCTCAGATAGGGTTGCCAGGTGGTTTCAACTAAAATACCGGACACGCTTGGCATTACATCACAATCGACATTACATCTTATTTAGAAAATACCGGACATTTATATTGTCTCATTTATATTTTCTCAATTTGTTTCCCGAACAGAAAGCTCAAATACTGGATTGTCTGGTTCAAAACTGGACACCTGGCAACCCTAATCTCAAAGTGGATCCTGAGCTCCAATACTAGCTTCATGGCTCAGATTAGGGGCATGGGACTGAGCAAGAGGACAGAGGCTCCGAAATACACTCCAGCCTGGGGTGTGACTAGCTCATATAGACACATTTGAGCTAGACTTAATCCAGCTATCTTAATCCAGCACATGCTTCTGGTCAGGATAGCCACCCGCGTAACTACGCAGGATTTCAGGCCTACTGGTACAGCCTATGCAGAAGTGCTCACTGCCACAGCTTCACCGCTTCAGTGCCAGGACTAGTTTGACTAAAGTTAGCATGGGTATGTCGACATGAGCTGCAACCACACCCTGTGATTGATGTATAGACATACCCTTAGCTTCTCAGAATACTTGAATGCTGTTTTATCATCAAGAAAACAGAATCATTTGGTAGTCTCCTAGTTATGGGCTTGAATTTGGCCTCATCACATTACTTAACAGGTTAGGGTTTGTGTGGGTGGTTTGTTTTACTATGTTGAAGTAATAGTGTTCCTAATCAAGAAACAGTGTTGGAGTGAACCCCTTTACACCAGGTCTGAATTTGGCTCAATGTATTTCACTTTAAAAACTGTCATAGACTAGATCTTGTCTGACTACGCCCAAAGGCTTGATGAATGCAGACAGCTGGTCTGTGGGTGTATATTGCCTTTCTAAGAGGTAGAGCCAATTTATATGCACATTTAAAAATTACATGGTTCTCCTCATTAGATAAACTAATACATTTTTCAGCCAAAGTTAACATTTCAATTTGCATGTCCACTTACCTAGTACTGCGGGGATTAAAATATAGGGGAAAACCCCCTGCTAGCTCCCAATTTCCCTCCCAAGCAAGCACTTCTGGGCATTACCATCTCCATAGTTACAGACTGTTCTAAATACAATTTATTGATTATAATAGGGGTTTTCAATGTTGGGTCACAGGCCCGCCTGGGTAAGTCACTGGCAGGCAACCTGATGCTTTGTTTATCTAAGGGTCCATAGACACGGAGCCTCGCAGCTCCCACTGGTTGCAGTTCACTGCATGTAGAAAGCAAAAACCTAGCTGTGGATGCTCTGCTAACCAGTTGGGTGGCATTTGAATTTCTCCCGATTGGCCATGCAAGCACTCAGCTTACATGGAACACTGGTGCCCATCACTGTTATGAAGCAGACTGCTTAAGGGGAACTCAGAAACTGAGAGATTTACCAACTGGAAACCAATATTACTATACACTCATCGGCTGTAGAACACTTTGTAAAATGTATTTCCAAGATAAAATTTGTACGTGTTGTGGTTGATTTTGTTTACCTAGTTTATTTGATGTAGTGTTATAAAGTATAGTTCTTTACGTTGTACTTTTTTTTCATTAAACCAAAGTAATTACACAGTACTTTAACTTATTAAAATAATTTTGTTTGTACTAATGTTTAATAATTCTTATGAAAATTTAGATAACTATAGTTATACAGGATTATATTTTTCACTAAGTAAGAGAATTTCATAGTAACTTATTGTAAAGAAAGAGAAAAGAATTCAAATACTCAATAGAAGCAATGCTAAGTGCACCAAAATCCAGCCTATAGGCACTGATGATTTTAACAAAACTCCTGCTCAACCACTGGAAGCCTAGTCCGAACTACCTAGTCCGTGCCGCGTGTAGCTCCCGAGGGTCGATCTTCTTGCATTCAATTTAGTGGATCTAGTGTAGACCCCCAAATCGAATGCTGAGGGCAGCCTGCAACGGCATCCTGTACTTCTCATTCTGTGAGGACTACCTCCTGCAGTGTAGATGCTGTGGCAGCTCGGCTTAAGATAAATCCAGCTTCTCATTTTGTCCCCAAGGCTGGGGGGTGGGGTCTGCAGCCACTACTCCCAGGAGGAAATGTAGGGTAAAGGTAGTTAGAGACTCTCCTCTGAGGTGGACAGAGGCATCCATCTGTCACCCTGACATGACAGCCCGGGAGGTGTACTATCTGCCACGGGCCCATATCTGAGGGTATGTCTACACTACCACCCTCGTTCGAACTAGGGTGGCAATGTAGGCAACCGGAGTTGCAAATGAAGCCCGGGATTTGAATTTCTCCTCATGAAACGGTAGTTCGGAGTAGGAAGCCTAGTCCGAACTACCTAGTCCATGCCGCGTGTAGCCGCACGGCACGAAGTCCACACTAGCGGACATTTAAAAATGGCGGCACCTGGCGAGATGCAAATGAAGCCCGGGATTTGAATTTCCCGGGCTTCATTTGCAACTCCGGTTGCCTACATTACCACCCTAGTTCGAACGAGGGTGGTAGTGTAGACATACCCTGAGACATTATGGAGGGATTGTCGAGGATCATCCAAACCTCTGACTACAATCGCATGCTATCCATCTATGTGGGCACTAATGATACTGTGAGGTAAGACCCTCAGCAGATCACAAGTGACTACAGGGTATAGGCTGCCCCTGACTTGCGACACGATCGGTTCTGGGAATAGTGTTGCAAGTCGGGGGTGTCGTAACTCGAGCCTCATGCAGGGCTGTAAATGCAGGGCTGAGGACATAAATCGGGGGATTTTGGCCCCTTCTGCACTTACAGAAAAGGTTGTAAGTACAGGGGGTTGTAAATCGGGCCGTCGTAAAGCGTGGGCCTCCTGTACTGGGAGTACAGGTGAGGGAGTTTGTGGTGCAGGTGGTGTTCTCTTCTGGTCAAGGATATGGGCCCAGACAGAAACAGATGTATCCTAGAGGTGATAGTGAAGATGATGTCACTAGGAGGGCTTTAGTTTCCTTGTCCATGGGATGCTATTCCAGGAAGAAGGACTGCTAAGCAGAGATGGGGTTGTTCTAGTGAGGAAGGTGAAGAACATATTTGGATACAGACTGGCTAGCCTATTGAGGGGGGCTTTAAACTAGGTTTGATGAGGGCAAGTGATCAAAACCTAGAGCTAAGGCAAAAACATGGAAACCTGGGAGAAGGGTCAGAAACTGGGGAGAGCAGGGACAGTAACAGAAGGAATAAAAGACGAGACAGAATGGGGGAGAATCAGTATCTCAGATGTCTGTATATTAATGTGAAAAGTGGGGGGAATAAGCAGGAAGAACTCATAATGCTATTAAATAATTACAACTATGACATAGTTGGCACCACAGAGACTTGATGGGATAATGTAAATGATTAGAATGTTGGTATAGAAGAGTACAGCTTCCTTGGGAAGAACAGGCAGGAAAAAGAGAGGAGGTGTTACCTTACATATTAAACATCTGTACACCTGGAGTGAGGTTGAGATAGAAATAGGACACAGACTTGTTGAGAGTTTCTGGGTAAGGATAAAAGGATTGCAAACAAAGGTGATGTCATGCAAGGCATCTACTACAGACCACCTAATCAGGAAGAAGAGATGAATGATGCTTTTCTTAAACAACTAACAAAATCATCCAAAAGCACAGGACTTGGTGTTGCTGGGGGACTTCAACTATCCAGACATCTGTTGGGAAAATAACACAGGAGGGCACAGATTATCTAACACATTCTTGGAATGTATTGGAGACAATTCTTCATTTCAGATGGTGGAGGAAGCTACTGGGGAGGCTGTTCTGGATTTGATTTTGACAAACAGGGAAGAACTGGTTAAGAATTTGAAAGTGGAAGACAGTGTGGGTGAAAGTGATCATGAAATGATAGCATTCATGATTCTAAGAAATGGTAGGAGACCAGCAAAATAAAGACAATGGATTTCAAGAAGACAGACTTTAGCAAAATAAAAAAGAATCAGGGATTTCATCATAGAGAATCAGGGACTTACATACCAGTTAGCTCCAATAAGTCTCTCTCTAGATGAGGAGGGGTGGGAGAGGTAACAAGGCGACTCACAGTCCTGAGCTCCCTGAAAAAGCATCAGGGTAGGTCTACGCTGCAATCTGAGGTGTGACAGGAGCCTGTGTAGATTTCCTGAGCTAGTAGCTTTGATCTAGCTAACATGAACAACAATAGCAGAGAAGCCATGGCAGCACAGGCTAACTACGTGACTATATACTCACGGGTCTTGGCTGGGTTTGAAGTCAATGGGCATGAGGTGTCTAAATACTTTTGAGGGTCTGACACACAGATACTTATGAAAATCCTCCATATTTGCAAACATGCTCAGCACCAGCAATCAGGGCAAGATCTTCCAAAGTGGACAGCTCCTCTTTAGGAAGCAAAATAAATTAGACGATGAACTCTTTCCAAAGCTGGCCCTGTGCTTCTAGGAAAATTTAGCCCATATGGGGTAAAATGAGTTTATTCAAGTTTTTACTTTGGAAAACACAGTCTGTGCTATTTAGCAGAATAAAACATGTTGAAAGAGACAATTTTGTTGAGGAGTTGTTCATCCCGGAGAATGCAATGTAAAGCCTGTCAAATAATATATTTTATAATTCATGCCAGCCATCTGTGCAATCTCAGGCATACAGAGACAATGATAAACTCCAACCTAGAAAATCTGGTGTGCCACAATATAAACAGAAATACTTTTTTATTAGAGTCATCAGCCTGGCAGCCAGCTCCACAGAGGATTTTGGTTTTTTGTTAAAAATGATTGTGTAGGTTTTTAATGAAGCATTTCATCAGGATATTTTAAAAACAGAAATCTATTTCTACAATATGTAACCACCACAAAGAAGCAATATGAATCTGAGAGGAAAGTCAGTGGGGATTGCAAAGTTGGAAAGCTTCAGTTTCCTGTCCAGTCTTACAGTACCTATAAGAACTGAGGAATTTTGGCCTCAAAGTTGAGGGGGACAAGAAACTAATTCTACACACTTCTCCTTACTGCTACCCCTCTTGCTCCTTTGGTGCTCCCCTCAAGTTCTCCTGGATCCCAACACAAGAAGAATGCCTCCTTCTCTCCATCCATCCTGTATTTACTCCCATGCCTCCAAAAGCTTCCTTGCTTTGGTTTCTTCATTATTAAAACAAATGTGTGGAAACCCATCTTGAAGAACCTCTTTTATTATTAGATATGTACAAACATGAAAAATGGGTATCTATCTACGAGTAGAGTTGCAGATGCCATAAATTACAAAAACAACACTTGAACACTTCGGGTATGTCTACACTAGCTTGTTAGTTCGAACTAGGTAGGCAAATGAGGGCAATCGGAGTTGCAAATGAAGCCCGGGATTTAAATATCCCAGGCTTCATTTGCATGTTCCCAGGCGCCACCATTTTTAAATCCCCCTTAGTCTGAACTCTGTGCCCGCGGCTACATGTGGCACGCAGTAGGTAGTTCAAATTAGAGATTCTAATATTTAAATCCCGGGCTTCATTTGCAACTCTGGTTGCCCTCATTTGCCTACCTAGTTCGAACTAACAAGCTAGTGTAGACATACCCTTCTAGAGCACCAAACTTCCCTCTCCCCCACACATTTGATTCCTCTACAAAGCTCACCTCTGTGACAGCCTGCATAAATAGATTTGTCCCGCAACATGTTGTGAAGGTCAATAAACTTGGAATACTTCAGACCTGGGGTAAAAGACTTTTCTGGAAATGAGGGACACTCACAGAGAATGCTCTACCACCACTCGGTTAATGGTTAGTAGTCTCTGTTTTGCCCGTGATAGCTCACAGATGTGTTGTAAGGCATAATATATTATTGTGTGATGTTTGGGTGAAAAGTGCTGTTTATTCTAAGTGTAATTCTAGCTGTTCTTGGATGTTCAGAATGCTGCAGACTGAATGCTATATCCCCTGCATGGGTCCTCTCGTGCTCCTCTGAGAGTTTCATAATGCCCCACAGATTTTACAACCTGTCAACATACACATCCAAAATCCTGCATTGCTTGGAAACCTGTGAATACCACTTTTTAATCAGCCACAGAGCCTTCAATTGAGCCACATGGAGCACTCAGTCTCAGGGGCTGTCCATGTTATCTATCTCAGAGACTGTGGAACTCGGGTGAAGATCTAAGAAGAGTCTCCTCCCATGACCATTGGCCCTCACATGGCTTGTCAGCTGAATGAATGTGTTGCTATTTTCACTGTACAGCATAAAAATAAGAAGCATACTAAAGCTGTTTGTTCCGTTCTTGTCTAAATGCTTGCTGACTGGTACAAAATACAACTTACTTTTTTCCAATGGGAAATCCATGTAGAAAAGATCAAAATTGGCAAACGTCTCAGATGTTGTTATTTCTTTCAGGACATTGGAAAGCTGTAAAGCTCTCTGGAAAAAAAACCCAAAGAAACAATGAGATTTTCACAGCCACTGAAAAACTTCATTTGGGTTCAGCTTTTGTAACCAATGTGGGAGAAGAATTTAGGATACTGCTCCAGGACATGTTGCAATACATAACTGTAGAATACAGAACCTTTGAACATGTTCAGTTGTTTAATGCTATATATTTTGTTCTTTTACCAAAGTCATATCTTTTAGTACGATTGCTATTCCTCTTTCATTACATAAGGCATGTCTACACTAGAAACTTAAGTCGACCTGTGTTAGTTCAACTTACAGCCACCGCAATAATAACTAGCTGATATCCCCATTATCTTTCTTCTATCGATGGTGCACATCCCCACCAGAATGTTTCAACTGACTAAACAGGGGCAATGCAGGTGGCTGAGAGCCAGGATTCTCAGCTCCATGCAGCTCGCTACCAGACGTCCAACTGCTCTCTGGGTTTTTCACCTCCTCACTGTCTGCCAGGAAGAAGAGGCCAGCCATCTGGGCTTCTCAACTCCCTGGGCATGGAGTGGGAAGTCGGGATGGAGGCAGCAGGCTCCCATACTGGTCCTGGGCTTTCTTGGCAATTTTGGAGCAATGAAATTGACAAGAATAGCAACCAACAGCTGAGGTAAGTAAAGCAGTGTGTATGGGGACACCACATCACTCTAGTTACACTACGCCTCTGGTGGAGGTGAAGTTATTATGCTGATGTAGTACGGTACTTCATTGGCACAAGCAAGGATGTTGTGTGTACACTGACATAGTTAAGTCAACAGAAGGTGCTTATGTCAAACTAACAGACACCTGTAGACCAGGGCTTAGAACCCTCATTCTGAAGGCCCTTTTCTTTCCTTCTACAATTCTCCACAAACTGTAACTCTTTATATCAGCAAAGTTCTCGCCTTCCCTATACATTGCCCATTTCCATGCTGCTGGTGCATGAGCTCTGATCTTGCAAAGACTTATGTGTGTTATGTGTACTGATAGTCAATGGTACTACTCACAGCACACAAAGTTAAGTGTGTATGTAAATCTGCAAAACTGGGGCCATAATTATTGTCTAGTGAGTAGAAACAGTCTCACAAATACACCACACTGCCAATCTGGACAATAGTGTACGACAAGCCACTGATTTTTCTGCATGGCTTGGAGGGGGGTGGGCGAGAACCTCAAATATATTTACACATTCATAGAAAGTAATTGGCTAACATTTTGTGGCCCTCCGATGATTCATTTGTCAGTTGTTGGGTTAAGTTTCTAGAGTGGTTTATAGAGAAACCTGCATTGGCAACATTCTGTAGTCCTGCCCATTCAGGTACTTTGGGCCTAATCCAGTTTTCAGGCACTCTTTACTGGTACTTAAGGCAGTAGGATGTGTGTGAGTAAAGACCTTACAATTTGGTCCTTTATAAGGATCGATCCTGCTCCCACTCAGAGTCATGCATTTGGATTTTGTAGTCAGAGACAAATGTTTCCTCTAAACTTTTCCATCCATGTGCAGAATACATTTTTTAAGTGCACCGAAGTATGTGCAAATGTGCATCACCAATAGAATCACAAACCCCAGCTGTGGGTGCTCTGCTAATCAGCTGGGCAGCATTTGAGACTCTCCCAAGGAGCTGCACAAGAGCACAGCTTACAGGGAACACTGATTACAGTCCTCGTGGCCCTGTTCATTCACATGGATTCAAAGCAGCCATTTTTCTTCTTATTAAAAGAACATTCTGAAAGGTCAAGAGGGTTACAATATGAATATTTGTGTCACAGCGTGGTGGTAAATCATGTCCCGTGTGACTAAGGCTGGGGTATAATCATAACTAGAATCCAAATCAGATTTCTGCAATTTAAGCCCAGATCCGAGACTTGAACCATTCTAAGCTTTGGAGGTGTTAGAAATGCAGATTTGCATTTTCTGGGCTTGACTTCACCCCCCTGAAAATAAAAATATTAACATCTTTCAATTGGGACCCTATCAAGGGGACATCCTCAAAGAAAACCATGAGCACAATTCAAAACCTTTCACTTTAGAAATTGTTACCAAAGATATGATCAAATTGCCTTCTTTAGGAATACCTCTGAGGTCAGGTTCCTGAGAGTTTCATTCGAAGACATCCACCCATTGCAGGGACTGATCTGTGGGATCAAACAAAATACTGTTTCAGCAACAGATAAGAAAAAAGAAATATTTAACCAACGGAAGAGGGAAACTCACCTGAAGACAACTTAGGAATGAATACACTTGTTCATATGTAACATCTTTATTTAGCTGACCTGTAAAACACAGAGTTTAACTTTTCATATTTTAAGTCCAATGTTGTTTCTTGTTCGAAATGTGTCTGGTTACGGAGTCTTTAAGCCCATGTAGGCTAAGAGGAACTGAAAGTACATAGATCAGGCATTAAATCCTACTCACTTTACTTGCATGAGTAATTTCACTCAGTGGGACTACTCACATTGGTAAGGGGAGTAGAAGCTTATTTTCCACCTTCCGGATACAAGTAATTTCCATGAAAGTCAAGGAGAGTTACTCATATCCTGCAAGATCCAGGATTTTGCCCTACGTGCAGTGACAGCAGCAGCAGCATGAACTTTCTGCAATGCCAGTTATCTCAGCCACATTGTTCAGGAATTGCTTGCTTTCTCCCACATACCTACGCCTCCCTCTCCTTCCACAGGCAATTCAACCTCCATGCAAACTTAGTCATATAATAGCCTGTTCAAATCTCAAGGGTGAATGACTGATGCTTTATCCATTAACGCTTCTTTCGCTTCACAAACAAATTTAGCCATTTCAAATCCAGAAGGAAGATTGAAGGTGACTGTGTATGCTCTATTTTCACATTTACCATGGAAAGGTTATCTTTAAAAGGTGGAAACAATTTGCCTGTCATAGAAGGAAATGTATACATCTGCGTGGGTGAGTGAAACACTAACTTAGACACGAGGCGGACCTTCCTCTGAAATTAATCATGCCACACAATGGCCCTCCTTGCTGTATGAACGGTAGGGTTTTTTGGCTGGCTTATTTCTGTGATAGTCACTGACTAATTAAACTGATATAAAATGCTAACCTGACATCTGACGATCAGCTCTCTGCTATGAGGAAGCACCTTTGGGATCAATATGCTCTTGGCAAAGCAATGCATTCATGTTAGTAAAAAGATAATTGTGCCAGGCATCTCTGTCTTGAAGGGAGAGCATTAACATGTTTTTAAAGTACCCCCTTTAAGAAAGCACGTTAGGACACCGGTGAAGTGGAACAGAAATGATTGTTCATTCTGTGGTGAGGTAGGAAAACGAGCTCTTTTAAGGGTGAGAGTAGCATATACTATATAAGATGAGGCTGTAATGACAATGCCAATAGTTACCACGATGAACGTAGGGAGAAAGAAACCACAGAAGTGTTGATGGTCTCTAATACCCATAGATTGTCAAAATCCGTTGCAGTTGTATTACCCTGGTTTAGTAGTATGATCAACTCTTCCTCTATTGACTGGATCCAGCGACTACAACAGACTTCTGCTTATACTCAGATCTAAGGCAATTACTCCTTTAGATCTAGTGGTAGACATGTGTGTCTTAACCCTGTGATGCAGACAATCCCAGATTTGATCCCTGCATGACTGTGTGCATATACAGTTTCTTACAAAGACTTTGGAGGAGTAATGTTGCTTGGGATCTGCTTTTTGTGGTTTCACCCAAGAATGCCCCCCAGTACACACCCACTAACAGTTTTGTTTGCAATCTCTTTCTCTTTGTTCTTATTAACTTTGGGGAAATGTGTGTTTGGGGGCATTCTTGGTGACCCCACCCTCCCCCATAGCACATCCTAAGCAACATAACTCATCTACATGCATCAAGAACTGTGAATTCCAGGGAGTTTCCAACTGGCTTGCATATGGGCAGTCTTTCATGACAGTGCCACTCTTCTTTGCTAGGCATAATATTAAGCCAATAAACAGGGTTTGCATTTATTATTATTCGTGGTAGTAATGTTGTCGTAGTGTGTAGGAGCCACAGTCATGGTCCAGTACTTTACTGTGCTAGGTGCTGTGCAGACATTACAAAAATATGGTTCCCAAAGAGCTTACCATACTCCTTGGAGCAGCCTGAGGTGTTCTGAAATGAGAGGCTTCCAAGAATTGTCCCAAGTGCCTTGTTACAATTCCATGTTTTTTAAAAAGCCCAAGGACAGTCTTGTTAAGGTTGTGAACGTTGAGGCTTCACTGTTCCACTTTTGTGGGGAGCTATTGGGCATGACTTTGTTTTTGCACAATTTCATCAATTGGGGGTTGTTTTGCAAAACCTAGCCAGGGACTTGTTCAAATCTGGGCCCAATTTTATCTAAATATCTTAAATTTGATTGAGAACAGATGTGCATGTAAATCTCTCTGTTTAGTGCCAGATACAACCAACCCCAAAACAATGATAAGCCAGTTAGACAGCAGTTTTGGACTAACTGGGACAAATCCAATCCAGCTGTAATACCACTGAGTTCACCATTCCTAAAGCCATTTTGTAACGTACATCAGTAGAGTTCAAGATCCAGGCCTAGGAAATTAAAAACAGGCTCAGATACTTACCAAGAGGATGGTATCTGCTATGTAACTGATCCCACAGAAAACGACCATCTGCCAAGCCTGTTAAAATCACGTGGCTGCCTTTTGGAAGCTGAGAGTTTAGATACTGCAGTGTCTTTATGACATTGGAGTGCATTTGTTGGGGTGTGGTCATGTGAGCCACCGTGTCAGGTTTCCTATATAGGAAAGAACAGGAAAAAAGGTCAGATAGTTTACTGATTGTAGACTCACAAAAAGGGGCTGTGTTTAGCATTAAACAATGTTATTAGTCATTGCTTCTCTGTTTTATAACAACTGATTAAAATGGAATGGAAACACTTTGGTTTGGTGCCACTTTTTTTTTGTTTGTTTCCACAGTCACAAGTCATGAAAAAAAAACCCATAAACAAAACAAACAAACAAAACCAAGCAAGTTCATACTTTCTAATATGCACACAGAAGAAACGTCTAGACAGGTGGGCTATTTTGGGATACCAAAAGTGCCCCGAAATAGCTACCTCACGTCTTTTAAACGCTCCCATTATTTTGAAATATTTTTCAAAATAACAGGTGCTCTATTTCGGCATCCCTGTAACCCTCGTTCCACGAGGATTAAGGGATGTGTCGAAATAGTGCATTATTTAGAAATTTGGCACTGTGTTGAGGTGCCAAATTTTGAAATAAGCTATTTCAAAATACAATTGAAATAAGATGCACAATTTGTGTAGCACAAATTGCGTATCTTATTTTGAATTTAGGGTGCTGTGTAGATGCATTGAGAGTGGCCTCCCTACATAAAAGGACCCATGGTCTGATTATCTGCTCTCTTTTACTTTTTTTTATTATCATAGAATCATAGAACTGGAAGAGACCTCAGAAGGTCATCAAGTCCAGCCCCCTGCTGTAGGCAGGACCAATCCCAACTAAATCACCCCGGCCAGGGCTTTGTCCAGCCGAGACTTAAACACCTCTAAGGATGGAAACTCCACTACTTCCCTAGGTAACCCATTCCAGTACTTCACCACCCTCCTAGTGAAATAGTTTTCCTACTATCCAACCTGGACCTCTCCCACCACAACTTGAGACCATTGCTCCTTGTTCTGCCATCTGTCACTACTGAGACCAGCCTCTCTCCATCCTCTTTGGAACCTCTCTTCAGGAAGTTGAAGGCTGCTATCAAATCCCCCCTCACTCTTTGCTTCTGCAGACTAAACAGACCCAAGACCCTCAGCCTCTCCTCATAAGTCATATGCTCCAGCCCCCTAATCATTTAGGTTGCCCTCCGCTGGACCTACATTCTTTTTGTAGTGGGGGCCCCAGAACTGGACACAATACTCCAGATATGGCCTCACCAAAGCTGAATAAAGGGGAATAATGACATCTCTGGATCTGCTGGCAATGCTCCTCTTAATGCAACCTAATATGCCATTAGCCTTCTTGGCTACAAGGGCACACTGTTGACTCACATCCAGCTTCTCATCTACTGTAACTCTACTGATTTTAACTGAGTTAATTTTTCTGTATGTCGTCAGAAGGGAAATAGGATGATAGGGGAAACTAGATTATCATACGTGTTCCTTTTTGGCCTTAAAATCCACAAATGCATACCATATCATTCTGTACCTAGATTCTAGTGGGATTACAGTTTTGTTTGGGGAACATCAAGAAAGATTAAATGGTGTAGAAAATGGTGTTTATGATTTATCTTAGTATTTGATCCTCTACATTGGTATTGAACTGGTATCCAGACATAGAATCATAGAATACTAGGACTAGAAGAGACCTTGAGAGGGCATCAAGTCCAGTCCCCTGCCCTCATGGCAGGACCAAGTACTGACTAGACCATCCCTGATAGACATTTATCTAACCTACTCTTAAATATCTCCAGCGATAGAGATTCCACAACCTCCCTGGGGAATTTATTCCAGTGCTTGACCACCCTGACAGTTAGGAACTTTTTCCTAATGTCCAACCTAAACCTCCCTTGCTGCAGTTTAAGAAGCCCATTGCTTCTTGTTCTAACCTCAGAGGCCAAGATGAACAAGTTTTCTCCCTCCTCCTCATAACACCCTTTTAGATACCTGAAAATTGCTATCATGTCCTCCCTCAATTTCTCTTTTCTAAACTAAACTAACCCAATTCTTTCAGCCTTCCTTCATAGGTCATGTTCTCTAGACCTTTAATCATTCTTTTTGCTCTTCTCTGGACCCTCTCCAATTTCTTCACACGTTTTTTGAAATGCGGTGCGCAGAACTGGACACAATACTCCAACTGAGGCCTAACCAGCGCAGAGTAGAGCGGAAGAATGACTTCTTATGTCTTGCTCACAACACATCTGTTAATGCATCCCAGAATCATGTTTGCTTTTTTTGCAACAGCATCACACTGTTGACTCATCTTTAGCTTGTGGTCCACTATAACCCCTAGGTCCCTTTCTGCCGTACTCCTTCCTAGACAGTCGCTTCCCTTTCTGTATGTGTGAAACTGATTGTTCCTTCTGAAGTGGAGCACTTTGCATTTGTCTTTATTAAACTTCATCCTGTTTACCTCAGACCATTTCTCCAATTTGTCCAGATCACTTTGAATTATGACCCTGTCCTCCAGAGCAGTTGCAACCCCTCCCAGCTTGGTATCATCTGCAAACTTAATAAGCGAACTTTCAATGCCAATATCTAAATAGTTGATGAAGATATTGAACAGAGCCAGTCCCAAAACATACCCTTGCGGAACCCTACTTGTTATACCTTTCCAGCAGAATGAGAACCATTAATAACTACTCTCTGAGTACGGTTATCCAGCCAGTTATGCACCCACCTTATAGTAGGTTGTATTTGCCTAGTTTATTGATAAGACTATCATGTGAGACCGTATCAAATGCCTTACTAAAGTCTAGGTATACCACATCCACCACTTCTCCCTTATCCACAAGACTCATTATCCTATCAAAGAAAGCTATCAGATTGGTTTGACATGATTTGTTCTTTACAAATCCATGCTGGCTCTTCCCTTTCACCTTGCCACCTTCCAAGTGTTTACAGATGATTTCCTTAATTACTTGCTCCATTATCTTCCCTGGCAGAAGTTAAACTAACTGGTCTGTACCTGGACATGGTGAAAGGGGCACTAACATTGTGACTTAAGGTACAGTTTTTTGGACGAGACACAAAATCAAAGTCTTGCCTATTCTGTTCATGAAAGATTTCATGTCAATTTCCAATAAAACAGCAACAGTAAGTACAGTGATAGGCTTGTCAGATTTCAGTTTTGGTATCTACACCCAATGTGTTAACTTTGTCCCAGAAATTTCATGTGGAGAAGGTATGCTTCACTGCACTGTTCAAAATTGTTGCCTACCATTGCTGTGTTTTGTTAAATGGCTGCTGTGTTTGACCCCAGAAGTGGATGAAATGATTCTTGGGTATCAAAATAGTTTTAGGTTGAAAGATGTGGTATAAGTTGAAGATACTGTTATGACAGCTGCATTGGATAACAGCAGAGATTTTCCAAACTACAGGCAGTCCCCGAGTTACGTGGATCCGACTTACGAACGGGGATTTTTTCGCCCCGGAGGACTGGAGCAGTGGGACGCCTGGTCCCGCCACCTGCCTCCTCCGGGGCGAGAAAAGCTGCTCCCCGTCTCCCTGGTCTGCTGGGGGAGCCAGCAGACTAGGGAAACGGGCAAAGCCGCGGAGGACCCGGGCAGAGGGAACCACCCAGACGCGCTGCGGTCCTGCCGCCCGAGTCCTCCGCGGCTTTGCTTCGCGTCTCCCTGGTCTGCTGGGGGGGGGTCC